AACCCTGCTTAAAATACAAAGAATACATATGCGAATTTTGTACTTGTTGAAATTGATTAACAAATAAAACCCAACATTAGTGATCTAACTTGTAATTACGATAATGATTGTACATTCACAGCATGATCAAGTTAGGTTTGTAAGCTACCCTGAAATTGTCGTCACACATATAGGTTACATTGTTTTCTTTGCACTGAACGTTGATCAGGTGTCACATGATCGTTTTCAATGTTTCCTTTTTATATAATTTTCACTTATTCGGAGCTTCCTTAGTACAGAGTATGTTTATTCGTCAGAACTTAAATACAGCATAGAATCGATGACAGTAGCCACAACACGTAATAACTGACAACAAATAAATAATACAAGACAGAATTTATCAAACAAGCTTCCTACATCCTTCCACGAACAAGATTTACTGATATCATCGGTGCTTGCTTCCTCAGTATTTTCATCACTCAACTGAATTTTATCCTTAAAGGTTATTTGATCAGATATGTATCCTTCGTTTTTGTCACTTAATCCGTCTTTGTCGTCTGCTAATTGTTCATTTATTGATTGCACTTTAATTTGTCTCCATCTTGTTTTTTTGGGCTGATTATCACTTCTTCCGGTCAAAGATCGTTGATTACATGTACCATTTTTTGGCCGTTTTGAACATGCCAGAACTAGTCTTTTGATCCATTCTGGAATCGGTGTGTCCTCTGGACGGCTGTACAATTGAAGTCCAAAGATGGTGAATATCATGATCATTCCACTTAGTGACAAATCTGCAAGAAGGTATAAACTGACACGAGCTATATGAGGCTCGGATGTACTTGGCAGTTTTTCCGATACACTCGACAGAAATACGGCCATGGCTAACATAAGGGTCACACCATATGAAGTTCTCTCACCCGGATCAGGAGGTAGAAGGAAAACCAACGTATTCAAAACTCCAACTATACTTACTGGAACGAGTAAGTTGAGTATAACAAAAAGAGGACGGCGTTGAAATTTGACTAATATTGTAATATGATTACCAAACAGGCTATTTACAACAGACATATCAGTTGACAGAATATTCCACATACCGTTCTCAATGAAGCTATATGTTGTTGCCTTCCTGTATGGCAGATAAAAGTCAAAATAATCTGACTGGAAGCTTGATGGTAAAATGTATATTCCACAGTGTTGTTTATCCAACGGGTAGTAAGCTATATTTGCTGTACAAGAAACATGATACAAATCTGATACAATCCAAGAAGCGTTCCCGTTGTTATTGTAATTTACCTTGATGAGGTCACTGCTTAATGTTTTAATCTCATCGTAAGGTTTTCCAACAATTAACGAAGGAGTCCATACCTTGTGTGCATTCATATTCACATTGGTGATGTTTCCGTGCTGTGAAAGTTCCCACGACATTCTGTCATCCGTCCATGTCAAATTGAAATGTCCAATAAATGAGAGTTTTCCTGTTTTATCGTCAAATTCTGTGATCGAATATAAATTAAAACTTACGTGGAGATCAATAGGCGCAGTTTGATTGTTTTCCGGACCGAGGTCTCTGTTATAACCCTGCAACAGGTGGTCATGTAACATCTGGACGTCTTGTCTCAACCAACATTTCACTTGAAGTATTAAAAAATACATAAAAACAGCGACAAGCTGAAGTTGAAGAATCATTTTATCAACCGAAAACCAAGTTACACTATCGCAATATATGCAGCTTCTCTTACTGCGGTGTCTCATTGAATGAAACGTAAAATATTGACATAGAAATGGTAACCGGAATGAGTTATTGAATTTCTGTCCAATCAGCTCATCGTACGGTTTGATTCATCCAAACTCATATAAACATCTGTGATATTGATATATCATCATGTATTTATACCACACTGTCAATGTTAATCAATATCTAACAGTTGTCATGTGGGCGTAACGACCTATCTATCATCGTAATTTATGTAATTATGTGTTGCCGTTCGTCAGAATTTGTTTAAGGTTTATTATGAATACAATTAAATGTGCTTTCTCTTTATCATCTTTTAAGAAGACATAAATTCCGTTAAGCACACTTAAATTGCGAATGGAATAACACAATGGAGGAATCAAGGGACGCTTCGGTATAATTACGAGGTTGTCATCTTGATTTGGTTTGCGATGATATTTCAGATGTGATTAAATGTAATAAATGTCTATGATGACTGAGAAACTTCCTTGGATTTGACCGGATACCGCTAGACAGAGTGTCACGTATGGTGTCAGCAGGAAATGCTTATCCTCTAGGAACGCCTGGTGTTGTGCGGTTTTTAGGATGTTTTTCATTATACTTTAGTGTAACCCCGTTACCTCTCTTTGAGGGTCAATTTTGTTGCAAACTACTGTCGCTATTTCATATATTTCCAATCTGGTAATGCATGTTGATGAAGATTATGGACATGATTTATAGTTGCCATTACTATATTATTCTATGATTGTTTGTATTATGTGAAGATTAATGTGGATTAATGTACCTTGTTGTTAGTTGTCATAACCCTGGTTCTCGCTTTGACGACTTGACATTCTTTGATTTGACTTAAATGTACATGGCAGGTTTCTTTGATATATACAGTATAGAAGAAAACAATTACCTCCAGGAACACCTTGTCGTATTCTCCTTGTATTTTTAATAGAATCTGCGTGTAAATCTATCCTTAGTGCAATTTGCACAATGGGTTTACAGTTTGTAGTTAGAACTACAATTTGTTGACACTTTGGTATAATTTTGCTTTTTCATCTCTATAACTGATCAGACAGACTAAAACCAGAGAGTACATTGACATCTGTATTGGTGGCCACCTGTCTGTAAAGACCACCTGTTAAAGTGGAAAACATGTACACTAACCACATGCAGTTATTCTAAAATCTATGATATGTTTTTGTTCATTTTCGATATTTTGTTCTATTTGGCGCTCTCCTATAGGCAGCGTACTTATTGCTCACCAATGCACGCCAAATAATACTTGGATTTGATCAAAGTTTACTTATCTTTTTCCTGATGTAGGATAAGCAAACTGTGGAGTCGCTTTTATGAAATTGGTAACGATAACGCTGATGAATTCGCGATAATATCAAAATACGATTAGTACAAAAAAGTCTTATCTTAAATGCGATTTTTATGTGAAACTGAAAACAAAAAAACACCCACACTACAGAATACCAGACACATCAGACCCGTTAGCACATTGGATTATTTGTATAAGTGTGAATTAATTAAGGAATTTTAGTAGTGTGAAGGATCCCTGTCCGCAGAAGCCAAACCACATGGTTAATCCACAGTAGTTTTATTCATATACGGTTACCTCCCTTTAATTCTGGTTTACGATAAAACAGTAGTGGGACTCTGCCCTGTACTACCATTTTCCGTGTCCCTCAGTTGATTACAGCGACAGTATTGTTGTTAGAAGATCAGAAGTTCGAATACCGGTCAGCTTTGATAGATTATTTCATAGACGAAAAACATACCATACACATATTCTGTACTATTCAAATATATCAGATGAGGCCATACTACTTTTCATCAACTACATTCTCGAGGTTGCTAAGTAGATGACTCTTTGACTTAATTGTGAGATTGAGCGCAAATATACCAGTACACGCACAACTGTTACATGTAGTAGGATAAGAAAACATTTAATTAAAAGTGAGCATGTATTACCTCTTAACTTTTGTATCTAGGATGCAATCGTATTCACCCGGTGTTTATGTTTATGCACAGATCTGTGTATATTTACAATTCCCACAAAGCGTTATGAGAAAGAGTCTTTATCAAGGGACTTTATGAAATGTAGTCTGACAATTTCGTTCAACTGTATGCGTTTTTTTGTCTCCATCCCTGTTTTGGATATGAGAACGTACATTGTAGCATTACTTGGATATATCAAGATTCATATATTTCAGATGCTTTCTTTGAAGCTGAAAACGCCATATTTCCGGAAACGTTTGCGTTTTTTCCCTGATGTGTTTTAAAGGGTTCAACGAAAATCTGTCCTTTTCTTCCATAGGTTAACATAAACGAACAAAGCCCCAGTCAAAGGAGGGAGAATGTAGCGGAACTGGACTGAGTTGACCGTTGGTGACCAGATAGCCCAATTCCTCTCCCGTTACATTGGTATACATAATTAAATCGGCTAACGTCCTCTTTAAGAATATATACCGTAATATACCGTGACGCTTATAGTCATTATGCTACGAATTAAAGTATGGTCCATACTACATTGCATTGCATGTCTTTTCCATTGATATATGCAATGTACCAGCGGCTTTCAATACAAAAGGTGAACCTCTGTGAGCGATGCGATATATCATCTAAAATATTAATGCTTACTCTAAACTCTATCAGGCGGTTACACGATTTTAAACAATAGACTAAAATGTATACAGTATGATTTTATTAAGCGTTCGCCTCTAGGTAACGCCTATTTAATATTAGTTTCGGTTGTGTGATGGTCTTGTTTGGTATATATGGTAGTAACCGTACTAGATTTGTGCATTGGGAGTTTTAATTGGGTGTTTAATCGATACAATTTTAATTTTGCTTTTACTACGCCATGGTGCTGGCGCTATTTTTCAACACGTTAACGTGCAAGCAGATACCAGTCGCGGCAGCAGACCCCCCAACATGTCGCCCAGAGAGCACGTGGGGGTATTCTTAACCGACAGGTTAGGAAACGTCAAAAGCAGCCGTACCACTTCAGTAAAAGAAAGCGCATCCTGCTTCATCGATGACACCCTCTATGTCTCAAGGTCAAATTCAATTAGTTTTTCGTCAACAATATTCAGAAAATCGTCATGCTTATCGTACAGCTTAGTAGTAATCCGTTTTGGGTGTAATAATAGATCGAGAAAACTGGCTGGAGCAGAAGACTATGAAATGTTCTTCATTTCAAGTTAAGGAAGGTATATTGATAAGGTAATTGATTATTTTTTTTCATTATTGTAATGAAAAAATATTGCATCATCGAAGAATTTTCGATTATTTCTTTTTCAATTAAAACTGATACATTATTAGCCAATCAAAAAACCAGTGAAGGACAGATCTTCCATTCCATCAGAAAAGTTTCCATCCAGCGATTGCAGATTTCGATCGCGGATCGTCACTCTGTATTACTCCGTGTTTAGTACTGCCTACGCGTATAAATAAGTGATCGCCTTTACTCAAATTAAGTACAACAATTCCAGTTGATTGGTGGATATCATGGATCTCCTCGGAATCCGAAAACGATGACCCAACCACTGCGCCATTAACAACCAATAGCGTCTGGACATAATCATTATAGTTTGGAACAGTGATCCAGGTGATGACATAAGTTCCGGTAGAAGGAACAAAATACAGGCCGTCACGTGGGTTATATCCATTACCAATATCCAGCGTCTCGTGGTTATAGATGACGACCTGTCTTTTAGCATATGCTGTAGTAGCGGTCATGTACGCACGGAATGCAACTGCGTTTGGAGTTGTTGGAGCAACACCTATATATAGATAATATAGTAAATTTTCGTCATTGTGATTTTTAATCTGCTCCTGATATGACTATCTGATCTTAAATACATCGAATCACATAATCATTGATGTCTTTTTACAAATTGAAGACAACACTGTGTTGTTGTGTGCTTTGAAACAAATAAACACATGACCCAAAAAGATTTATTGTGATGCAAAACGTGAGGAGCAGAAACTCTAATTGATAGCGGCGAAAACAAATCCTACGTACGTTTTAATCTGTATTCAAGCTGCTCTATCTTCTTGTCTTTGTCTTTCATCGCGAGTTCCATTCTGTCTAGTCTCATGCTCATGTTGGACACAATGTCACTAAGTGAATATTCTTGAGACTGCCCGTAAACCTTTCCCATTTCTACTGAAATAAACAGAGCTAAGAAAATGTTATAGAATGCCATGACGCTAAGAACAAACAACATTTTGCTCATGATGAAATGTATACTAAATCGTAGTCTTATCTTTGTACGTATTATATTCAGTCTGTGTCTGACATGTTCCTTATCTTACTTTAGTAACGCTCTCACGGCCAGGTGATAGGAGTGTCTTGCTTTATATAAAACGTCTTTCCCAGAATGAATGATTAGGATAGACACGTTACGAATTATGCTTTATGCCTAAATAACTGAATGCGTAGTCATTCCTCAAGTAATCAGATTGAAAGATTAAGAAAAAGAATAATAAGACACACACACGAACACACACACGAACACACACAAAATATATTTTAATGCGATATGTTTAATAAGTATGACTACATTTTTTTTCCAATGTTGTTTTCATTATTTACATACCGTAGTTTGATTAGCGGAATGTTTATTTATTAATTCTTTTATATATTAAAAAACCCAACAACAAACAAACAACTAACGGAGATGTGCATTGTCGTTTTATCAAAGATAATACAGATAATATAATTATTATAAATACATTCGACCGCAGATACCTATTTTTTGTTTCGCATAAACACAGATACCTTTATTGTACCGACTGATACTTGATAGTGTCAGGTTATCAAGATGATAATTACAATTGATAGAGAGATCACGGTGCCTACACATCAGCTAACGAGCATTTATATATACACAGCGATACAAACAGGTGATTAAATATTAGGTATACGTCAACATCACCGTAGCAAGCACGTGAATCAGATCAAACGATGGAATAAATTATACGATTCCTGTTCGCATGACTATATGTTGTACTTTTATTTACCGAGACAAGTCAAAAAGAGAAGTTGTGTATACTGAAATAGGACGACTTATTCGGAAATCGGTATGGAGAATGATGATTTTCTTAAAACTTTTTATGTTTTTCCGTAATACCCGAAGTGAAAAGTTGGTCAAGACACAATGTGCAAATGTTACATGATCAACTTATTCAAGGTTACGACAAAGACCTTGATCAGTAATTCAAAGAAAAATGAGCCAATCAATATCCACATAACATATCAATGCGAAGAACGAAATGGGAAAAATTACCGTTATTGGATATTTCAATTTGACATGAACGGATGACAGAATGTCGTGTGATCCTTTACAGCATGTACACATCACCAGCGTATATACAGTGTGATGTACACAAGGTATAGACCTCTGATTTATTTCTTGCAATACCCGACAATGAAGTTAAAAGAATAGGCGATGACTTTATTGAGATGCAATACAATAACAAGAGAGAGGATGTACACTGTTTACTGCACAGCAAATATAGCCGTTTACCCATTGGATAGATAACAATGTGAACTATACTTTATACCTTGGAGCTTTCGGCAGAGGATTTTGGGGTTTTTCCTGACACACAACAGTATGACAGCAACCGATTATTTCTAAACTGTGGAGTGTTCCTTCAACCGGAATGCGTGTAGTGATTAATCCAAGGTATTCAAGTTTCAGCAGTGTCCTCTTTTTGAAGTGTTATTTACCTCCTACCAATATTTATATTTGGTGTTCGAAATATATTTGTTTTTCTGTTATAATTTTCTCAGGGAATATAAGTTGCTGTAGTGTATCTAGTATCTGAGCCATGGCAGTTTGTCTGTCAACTATGTCGGACAAATCACCCAGTACCTCCGAGCCTCATATAGGTCGTGTCTGTTTATACTTTCTAGTAGATCTACTTATGAGTGGAATGCTCACGACATCTACCATATTTGGACTTCTCTTCCACGACCATCAACAGGATACACCGATTCCAGACCAGATTGTAAAGCTAGTACTGATGTGTTCAAAACGACAATGGCGTAATCATCAGCATTCTCAAATTAAAGGCAGTCCCGATAATCCAAAAATACAATCTGGAAACAAAAAATACAACTTACATAAGTTCTATTGAATAAACACATGGATATAAGACTTAACTGATTTCGCTTTAAATCAGAAAATTTGAACAGGATAGGTATAATTCCCCTAACGGAGAATAAAATGAAATATTCGACTTAATTCGTAAGAACCGTTTGTAGAAGACTAGTTTATATATTATATTCTTATATGTTAATGTTAATTACACAATAGGGCCATCAATATCAATATGTGAAAGGATAGGCACCTAAAAGGCTGTTTTTAGCCCCCTGATTTATTTTTTTCCTGTTTACATTATATGATTCAGCTCATTCATTTTACTTTATTCCGCCACGGTGAGGATACAATGCATGATGCAAGTAAAGCTTAAGTTTGACTGTAATTCATAAATAATTTGGGAAGTCGTTGTCTGGAAAATGTGTCAACAAATCTGAATAAAGCAATACTCGTGTTGTCTTGTCCTAATAAGAATCATAAAAACCACAAATACACAAGGATAGCATGAACATTGCTTTTTGTAAGAAATACCAACATTGTTCTAATGTAATCCCTAACGATGTAGAGAATGGAACGCGACGGTTAGTCAGAATCGTGGTTGTCCCTGTTACATAATTATAATATAACGGACACTGCTCAATTTAAAACTAATTATGCTGTTTACTACCGGAAAGTCATGCGTAACGAAGAAACGGTCAGCGAACTGAAAATAATGGACTTTTCGCGGAAGCGGGGGATATTTTAACCAAATTAAGCGAACAAATTATATTGCCTTCCATAAAAATACATAATCCTAAATATTACTTGAAATGATGTAGATGTGCTACTGAACATCTTCCAATTGATATCTGTAGGGAACGCATTTTCTGTAATGTTCCTGTAATTTCGACGACATTCATGTACCCGTGACTGCAGGAATCATCAGTTTAAGTGATTAATTATACTTGAACAAGTGATCTGATACATGTATGGTGAAATCATATTAATTATGTTTATACATTGATATGGGTGTTTTTGACATGGACATGAGTTATACAGTATGTGTAGTTATACATAATTTAGTGCAGATATTTTTTTCAAAAACGAAGATATAAACCATATGTGATGAATGTGGATATGTGTTCTATTTTTACACGAGACATAGCAATGAATGATTGAGACATGTATATGTCAGACAAATGGATAGATGCGTATATGTGGGTAATAAAATGTATTGTGCATGTACATTGCATTGATGAAAAATCTGAATGAAAAGATAATTATAAAAAAGTGATCTGTCGTGATATTGTTATTCCGTTCTAATCATCTTGATAACAAACAGCCAAACTTTGTCTACGTCATCCTCGAAAATTCCACGTGACAGTGACGACATGGTTATTGACAACGATAACAACAACAAACAATGAGATCAATATGACAGCAGTCCAATATTACAGGCAACATTGGTTGGTTTCTGAAAACAGTCAACAGAACGAGTATTTCGTGAATGTATTAAAAACACGTATTCCCAAGACAACAACTCATTAATGGGATTTATGTCCAACACAGCCAAATCGACATATTTTGCCATAAATGCATTCATCCACGTTGTCAATCGTAATAACACTGTAGACATTACGATATCAACACAGATGCCCTATTCACGGATGTTTACCATAAACAAACTCTCCGGGGTTGGCATTCTTCGATTTCGATGGATCAGATAATTACACTCTCATTATTTGTGTTTATCGAGATTACAAATTAATTATTGATATTGTACGCACAACTGTACCTGTCGGTTTCCCTAGTGAAGGCGCCTGTATTTGTTTCATCTTAATAACAAATAATATGGCCTGACGCTTTCGGGGATCAATCCTTCGATAACAATATCGTCTCCGTGAATGAACAATTAAAGAATTGATAGGGGTAGCGAAAATGATTAAAAAGCAGCGAACGCTTTTGCAGCATGATTTCGCGTTTTGATTGGATTTTAATTATTTAATGATAAAACTTTTCATTCAAATCAAAGTGATGTCAACTGATTAGACAGAATAAAATCCAAGATGTAGAATGCTTCGTTAACGGTGTCTTCCAGCTTAATGCTAATTGCCGTATTTTTATCGATGAAACGAAATACGTATTGGAACGCCATAACCAACGTATTTCATGTTTACTGCAAACCGAGAAATTTTCGCTGCTGTTTCATTGTCGTCTTTTCGCCCTATGTAATGAGTTTTTGAAATTTTGAATTTCGGAGGACGGAAATTACCCGGTATACAGTATTTCTAACATCTCATGAGAATGTGCACATTGTGAATAGTTCTAAAACCATGCATGTGTTCATAGACTACAGAACTTTGTGACGGGTCGCACAGTCAAGTGCTACGAAATGTGGTGATCAAGTGAGCCGTGTCTGTGAAAAATCCTCTTAACAATTTTATCGTTGTCATTTGATGCAGGTAAGGAATGTGCAAGATGGAGCTAATTATTATAAAACATGTGCTAATTCGTTCCCTAAATATCATTCATATCCAAAACGGAAACTTCGAAATCGGCGAGTTCAAACAAAGCTGTTGAAATCCGTCAGAAAGAACGAATATCCAGGTTAAAACTTTTCAAAACATTGTCACTGTCGGTCAGTTATTCCTATCAATTTTCTCATTTGTATACATGTATGTTGCCTACGCGTGTGACACACCTTCCCGGCTGTTATCTCAAGTCACATTTATCTCTTTCATTGTAAAATATTAAGGTCAAGCAGTATAAGTACGTGCGAACGACTATGGTTGGCGGTGTGTTTCTCGTTCTTGTGGTATTCTGTGTAATACAATATATATGTGGATATGGGGTACCTGTTGATCCCTCTCAGATCAATAAAACTACCTCCACGACCAGAACCTCCAAAATAATACCGGAAGCTATAACGGACTACGTCACTTCATTGCTGTCTGATATCAACGCTCGTGTAGAAGAACTGGAACTCTCACGTGAGAAAAACGTCAAACAAATGGCAATAATGCAAAACGAAATTGAAGAAATTAAAAGTGAAAATATTAATTTGAAAGAAAACATGAATATAATTAATGATTTTTTAAGAAGGAAAGGTTTCAATATAAATGACATTTTGTCGAGAAAACTACAAAAATCATCGCATTCTGATGCGGTTCATATACATTTGAACGAATCCTTACACTCGAATCCACATGACAACACAAATGGACACTCGTTGCCAAAAAGGATAACTAACGAACGAGTTCGGAGAGGGAGAACCTTCCAACGCCTACCTTCAACACGTGCGGGTAAGGATCGACAGACCAGTGCTACTGATAGGCGTGTTGTTAAGTTATAATACTTACTAATTATGCATACATTTGATTGTTCCATTGATATCCTACCCATTGTTATGTTAACCAGACTGACACGTGTTCGTAATATATTCTTCCTTATTCCGTCGTTTGACCAAACACGTGTTTGTTGTTTTGTTCCATTCTGAGGGATTGAGCTATACATTTATATATAAACTTGATGTTTGCTTTGTTTTGTTCCATTCTGCGGAATTGGGCTTTGCATTTATATATATAAACTTGATGTTTGCTTTGTTTTGTTCCATTCTGTGGGATTGGGCTATACATTTATATATATAAACTTGATGTTTGCTTTGTTTTGCTCCATTCTGTGGGATTGGGCTATACATTTATATATATAAACTTGATGTTTGCTTTGTTTTGTTCCATTCTGTGGGATTGGGCTATACATTTATATATATAAACTTGATGTTTGCTTTGTTTTGTTCCATTCTGTGGGATTGGGCTATACATTTATATATATAAACTTGATGTTTGCTTTGTTTTGTTCCATTCTGTGGGATTGGGCTATACATTTATATATATAAACTTGATGTTTGCTTTGTTTTGTTCCATTCTGTGGGATTGGGCTATACATTTATATATATAAACTTGATGTTTGCTTTGTTTTGTTCCATTCTGTGGGATTGGGCTATACATTTATATATATAAACTTGATGTTTGCTTTGTTTTGTTCCATTCTGTGGGATTGGGCTATACATTTATATATATAAACTTGATGTTTGCTTTGTTTTGTTCCATTCTGTGGGATTGGGCTATACATTTATATATATAAACTTGATGTTTGCTTTGTTTTGTTCCATTCTGTGGGATTGGGCTATACATTTATATATATAAACTTGATGTTTGCTTTGTTTTGTTCCATTCTGTGGGATTGGGCTATACATTTATATATATAAACTTGATGTTTGCTTTGTTTTGTTCCATTCTGTGGGATTGGGCTATACATTTATATATATAAACTTGATGTTTGCTTTGTTTTGTTCCATTCTGTGGGATTGGGCTATACATTTATATATATAAACTTGATGTTTGCTTTGTTTTGTTCCATTCTGTGGGATTGGGCTATACATTTATATATATAAACTTGATGTTTGCTTTGTTTTGTTCCATTCTGTGGGATTGGGCTATACATTTATATATATAAACTTGATGTTTGCTTTGTTTTGTTCCATTCTGTGGGATTGGGCTATACATTTATATATATAAACTTGATGTTTGCTTTGTTTTGTTCCATTCTGTGGGATTGGGCTATACATTTATATATATAAACTTGATGTTTGCTTTGTTTTGTTCCATTCTGTGGGATTGGGCTATACATTTATATATATAAACTTGATGTTTGCTTTGTTTTGTTCCATTCTGTGGGATTGGGCTATACATTTATATATATAAACTTGATGTTTGCTTTGTTTTGTTCCATTCTGTGGGATTGGGCTATACATTTATATATATAAACTTGATGTTTGCTTTGTTTTGCAAGGATAGATGAGCACGTCAACATTTAGGTGTTTTTTCACCTTTCCATAAGATAAGAAGTTCGTACTAGAAGCTATGATATAAAGTGATTCGATCAAATATTGAGAAAGAATAAGACCAAACACTATTATATCATATTGTGTTTTGTATAATCTACTATTAAGAAAGGTCATTTATATCAGTATGTATACCTTTTATATTCTTCTACCGGGAAGGAACATTTATAAAAGTTTACATGGTTTTAAATGGTTTACCAAAATCCACTTTATTTTAACTGAGGGGGGATTTCTTACACTCTAATATCAGTCTGAAAAGTTATTACAATAATTTGCAATTAAAAAGACACATTAGAAAATATTTCAGAAATTAACTTGATTAACAACTTAATTGACTTTGGCTATCGTACAGTGACATATCAAAATTTGAGAACTCTGGGAGAGATAATGTTTTATGCTTTCAGATTCGTTTGGAGATAATGTAGCGTTTCATGCCATCATGGATCGTGATTTAGTAAATCCTGGTAGAGGCTACGAGATCGTGTTTGGGCGAGTCCTAACCAACACTGGAGGTTCGTTCAGTAGCACCACAGGAACATTCACCTGTGGGACACCAGGGACATACGTCTTCTTCTGGACGGTAACTATATCGTCCGATCACTGGACGGACATACATCTCGTCCGTAACGGACAGGTGCTAGCCGTTATTGTGGCCGGGAATGCCTACCACTACGGGTCCTACACAGGAGCCGCCATCATACATCTGGATGTAGGCGATGAGGTATTTGTGAAGGTAGATTTTCACCAGGAAAACACGACTATTTACTCGACGGCGAGTATGTTCTCTGGTTTCAAACTTTTTTAATCTCCACCACAATGTAATGCCATTCTAGCATTGTATCAATAAATGAATGTTAAGTTACACATTCGTTTATCATGAGTGATTCAACAACGTTATCTGCCAAAACAAACACATACTTATTGTTCACAACGCACAAACGATGCCATTCAATCATAATCCACCATCACCTATACGATGGGTATACTGGGTGGTCGGGTGGTGCAGTGGATAGCGCACTTGTCTTTCACCAAGGCGGCCGGGGTTCGATTCCTCGATCTGACGTGAAAAGGTTGGAGTCACCTGTCCGATGACGTGGGTTTTCTCCGGGTAATCCGGTTTCCTCCCACACTATGACCCCACGAGCTAACACCCGGGCAAACAAGAGTGATTAACATCAATTGAAATGACTTGTTTTATAATTGTTGTAAAATGAATAAAGTTTATATCATCTATACAGAACATTTCTTTATAAACCACATGTACTAACAATCTTATGTAATATAAAGGATATCTTAAACAGTTTTATGAAATTCAGGATCAACATTATGCCTCGAATAAATGTTAAGTTGGCTTGCCATACGAAATCCTAAACAACGTTGCTATAGGGTCCATGCTCTATTTCGGTAAAATGAAATTTGTGTAACCTTTTTTTATCTTCGCTTCGCGTTTACGAACAATTGACCGACTGCTCCATATGATCTATTATCTCATAAACTAAATAAAATAAAAGGTTAATACTTACATTTACAATATTTTCTGTTAACAATAACACCATGAAAAGAGGCGGATACAAGCATTTACCTTGTATTATCTGCGTTCAAAATTATTTTGACGTCATGTTAATCCATGCGAAACAGCCATTCGCCAAAGCCGTTGACATACAGCTAAACCCCGCCCACTTAATCCATATTTAACTTTATACAATATCTTCCTAGTTGTATTAGTAGGTAATGGAATAAATAATTTTATATTTGTATGAAATTGAGGTACTCGGGCAAAATACTTAGTATAAGATACTAACGACCGCGGACGTCCATTTTTTAAAAGTGATGACCCCAAAGGCGAGAAATAGAGAGTGCTACCATGTCGTCGAGCGATAGTGACTCGTCTACATGAATGCCTGGTGGAAGTTGAATGTGCAGTTATTGAAATTGCTATTTGTAAGCAAACCAGGGTTTTGTAAAGATGACAGGTACACTGTGTGATGTGTATAAATCGTTTGTCGACCGAGTGACTGTTAATGTAACATTTAGGAGACGTGAAATTTGACCTACATTTCTAGGAACAACAGCCATCGTTTCTGTGCCGACACTCATAGATGAGAGAGTGGAGCTGGTGGAGCGTTTTTGTATCGTTGAGCAATCGCGACTGTAGTTTCTGACACTAGCTTCATTTTTATGACCCGTCATGAACATGATCTGTATTGTCTTAAACCCGACATAATTTGGTGTCTCGAACGCAATGTAGTCTTAATGCGAGCGTTTGTTTGTAAACATAGACACGAGGTTTGGGGAAAGAAGTCTGCCAATATTTACATAATTATATTCATACGCGGTGAATTGAATCACGTTCTATACTCAAGTTATTGAGAAATAAACAGACTTGCCTACACATACGTTATCGATTCAGAAACAGTGGCAATTGTAAATATATCAATATGAAAGTGAGTTCACTTTTTGTTTTTGCCTGTAAATTATAAAATATAAAATATGATTGTTCACAATAAGGAGTAGCGTCCTTAAATTGATTTATATTTACCTTTCCTTGGGCTATTTTAAGAATAGTACATACACAGTAACACCCTCACTTTTCCGGCAAAATGCGAATGTGTACTAGTTTTCATCTTTAGTCCTGCCTGTAAGACATTTGTATGATGGTTTAGGCATGTACTATTGTACTTTCAACAAATAAAATAACAAAATTTGTCATGCAAAAAGATGTTTTAATAGGGGCAAACGAAACACAAAAGCAAATCTTTACGATACGTTATCTGTTAAATGAGAAGAGCAAAAAAAAACAAAGAAAGAAAAAAGACCTAGCGGAGCTTGGATTACTTCATCGAAAGGGATCAATGAACAGGAAATACTCAGTTCTGGTGAAGTTTAAGTAATGCGCGAAGGGAATTGTACAGATTCCTGTCTTCTTTCGACGCGCACGCGGCCTGACCTTTTTTTGCTCGTTCATTAACATACTTTTCATCCACGCATTTTACCATGTCATTCCCTTGTTGGCCGCCATCCTCACAATCTTTGGCCAGTTGTTTCATACTCTCCCATTCGTCTTTCGGATCTATATCAGGAGTAAAGGTAGAGTCGTCGAATTTTAGGTTGTTAAAGCCATCTTTCATGCACGTAAGTAAGTCGTCATATGTATCCGGATCATTGTGTTTAAACCATCCGCAAGGTCTGACAACTGTTTCAGTTACATAAACATCAAAAGCTGCACGCTGAAGATTGTTTGTAATACATTTGAAACAGTTGCATTCTTTGATGAAGAACAGGGATAGACTTGGAAATTGCATGATTGATTGCAATTCACGTTGAGCACATTGCACGGCTTCAGATTGGCCTTCACAGGCATCAAGGACGTTTTCTTCAAGGTACCCCAAAACCTCTCGCAGACCCTTATCGTAATCAGCGGCACTGTGCACCGTGATGGAAAGTGCACACAGCAGGAGGGTAATGTACAACAGCCTCATAGTCTCAGTCCTGTTATAAAGGAAACATACAATACTAATTATGAAGAAACCATTTCAATTTTATTTTTTTTATTTACGAGAGCCATCCGACCCATAGGTTAAATATTTAACAATACCATAATGTAGTTCATGTACAAGAGAATATACATATAAAAATATAGGGATTGAAAGGGGTTTTTAATTTTATTTTCTTGTCAGTATGAAAATTTAAAAAACGCCGTTCAATCCATATATTTAGATTTTTACTATAGAACAAATGTTTGATTTTATTTATTTATTCTTCAATAATTTATGTATTTACTGCGTTTTGTTTATGCGTCGTCCTTTAAACGACATCAGCGGAACAGCCCTATTTTCATCAAACTGGCGGCAATAATTAACCGTAGTCATTTTAGTGTTTGACGTAGGGGCATTCTCCATGTTTACCGAAGCGAAGCGACAAGACTCTCATTGAACAAGGTTAAATCAAATGATTCGTCAAGAGAGTTTTTACTTTCATACTCAAGTGAAATGCACTTCTGCTGGTATGTTCATATAGTGGGTTGCAGCGCAAATGTAAATATAAATTGATGAAGTGTAGAGTTAGCATACGAAGCACATACATGTAAATAATAGTCTATATCAGATATTGATTTCTATACGTTTTCCCGTAGCACAATATAAATATTGTTTTTCAAGATTACACAATTATTTCATGTTATTAGTACTCAATAATTTCGAGACCGTAAAAACATGAGGATTTCTGTGATAGAACCGATATCTCTTCAAGTCTGAAATATCAGCACAAACCGACAAGCGAGAAATAAAAGTTCGGAGTTTTAATGTGTTATCTCACTCACTGAAATGTCACAACCTGGAGAGGGTAGCACCACACTCATTCTGTTCACATTATTTAGAAAACGGGATTACCATCGGTGCCTAAGGTAACACCGCCGAAAATAGAGAGTATGGTGTAGAGAAAAAGATAGGATGGTCTCAAGTGCTACAGTGGGGGCAAAACCTGGAATCAAATGCCCCTGAAGTAGAAGACACAGAGATAGAAGTAAGCCATTCTAGAGGGGATGGGTGGTGTTACATTAACCGTCTCCTGTATCATGCGTTGCTGTACGATAGGTCTATACTGTTTCGGAATGTGCACAGTTGCTGGAGTGGTGTAAACAAAATTATAGGACAAGGTCCTATTTGCACAAGTACCGTTACAAAAGACACCCAACTGTCACATGTTGTCGCAAATGTTGCTTTGGAAGAGTTAGCAATGTCATAATATACCGACATAAATACAATTCCGTAAGTTTGAACATAATAAAACAATAGAGAGGGGCTGTTGGCATCACCTTGGCGTTACCTATAGATGTGTAGATGTACCAATCAATCGTCGGCTACAGAGGCCATGTTTCTAGCCATATCGGGAAATAAAACGCGTTATTCACATTTCCACATATATATAAATAACAAATAACAAGTTTCATAAGTATTCGACCAGTAGTTTCAGAGAAAAAATCTGGAAAATATTTGTCGGAACAAAAAGAGAAATGATAATAATAATAATATAAAAGAGGCGCAGAAAATGCAACAAGACCCCACTTCGTCTGTAAACTAAGATACAGCAAACGCTAACAGATAAATATAGCAACTAAACGACATTACTCGACGTGAACAGTAAAATAACCTAACCAATAAATAAGACTTTTAAATGAAGATAAAATAAAAAAATAAAAAAAAAACAGTCATATTCAAAGACGATTAAAATCCATATAGACATACTTACAGTTTTCGTCTGTTAACTCAATTAAAAGTCAGCTGGTAGGTTTGGGTAAGTCTGGGTCGCAGTCTAATATCCCAGCCGTTCATAGGTTTATATATAGTGATAAGCCCCGCCCATATCTTCTAGGTAACGACAAGGCCTGCCTCATTTTACCTGTCAAGGTGTGTATTGTGACTATTTCATGGTGGCCTACCGTTCCTATTGACATAATGAGATGTTGAACCCACCGGACACGAATAATTTCATATCAAAATGTACTATACATAATTTTAAGTCAACGTCGTCAATTTTTGTTGAAATGTTACGAAAATACCGTCACACCGATCAGAAACGGTGAAACTGAATTGATGTGTACGATACTGAAACGTGAATGGATCTGAACGTATTGTAATAAATGTATAACATATTTTGATTAAGAGATTAAAATTACATGGAAACATATCGTGGCGTATAAGGGTCTATACTTGTTATTAAGTCTAGTAAGTTATATATTTGTGGACGGATTGGTAATCTTGTTTACTTGTTCTTTGTTGATTTTCACTATCATGTTTTACTGGTACATTGTAATATATAAATAACAGTCGTTTATAATAAAGATAAATATCACTATTTTGTTTTAATAGTAGTTTGGTTTGGTTTAATTATGTGTAACGTCCTATGAACAGCTAAGGTCATTTAAGGACGTGCCTCCATGTGTGTATTTTATGCGGACATGTGTGTGTGTATGGTGGATACAGGGTGCTTGCCTCCTTGTGATAGCACGGATCTGATTCCGACTTTATAGTGCTATCTCACTGAAATACCATGCCGAAGGCACCCAGCATTCCGCCCGGTCACATTATACTGACAACGGATGAACCAGTTGTTGCCATTCCCTTTGATGCTGAACGTTAAGCAGGGAATAACAACTACCATTTTTAAGGACTTTGGTATGTCTCGGCCTGGGGACAGAACCAATTGCCTTCCTCACCTGGGCGAACGCTCAACATAAATGCCAAAAGTGAGGTGTTGCCAAGCAAGGCGTTAAGAAATAAAAGGTAGTGAGAAGTAGAAAGAAAGATAAAGATCCCAAATATTGCAATGGGTGCAGCAGATTTATTTTGGTACCTTTTGTGTCCCCAGGTAGAGGGCACCAAAGCAAATCCCAAATTCTGCAGGGGGTTCCAACATTAGTCGCCTCATACGATACATGCAGTGGGTAAAAGCAGGTGCATCTTCAATAGTAATACATACTTGTATATCTGTTTACAACAATAGTAATAATGATAAATGTCATTATCATATATATACTACTTTATACCACCTACCGGTAGCATGATAATTTCATTATGATATTACGGAGTTCCCATTCCCCAGCACCTGGGAACGTATTTTCTCAAAAAAGAACGTTTGCTCGCGCCAGATGTCCGTCATAAAAATATCAATACAAAGTAAAAAGGACAAATATTGTGAGAATAACAACACCATTTCAAGTGTAAATGTGCATATGGAAAAGCCAATGACGATAGGTGACATATTGAGCTTATTGCAGCTGGCATTCATAGGCAATATGAATGCAAACTTGACAATGTTGATGTCAAAGAAAAAATCGAGTCAGCATTTAGTTCGAAAGATTATATGTATATATTCTTGATTCATGTATAGATCAGCCGTCTATCCAGGGGAGGGTCAGTGGTATGCAGCATTACATTTATGACGTCATAATAATGATTACGTCAACAATTGGACTATTGAATTCATAGTTGATTAATAGAACCTCTCCACACCTTGAATGTGTGAGAAAGAAATTTTTAAATAAAGGAGTAATTATTTTCGCTGTCTAACCTTAAGCATCAGGAAAGACATCGAAAATAATTACTCCTTGGGTTGGAAATTTCTGTTACACTCTCGTACTAGGAGGAGATTTTTTAATGCATATTGCATATGACCTCTCCAATCGAGAGCTGATTGTGACGTCATGTCTTATTGTTACCGTGACGTCATGGTGTTGTTTCTTTTGATGTCGTATAGATCTATCATATCCTAGGTAATGACAGAAAATCCATGCACATGTAAAACGTGACAAAATTCTGTGAGTTGAGGGACAAATGGATGTCATCTGAATATGGTAATGTTATTTAGTGGCAACGCCATACAGTGGTAAATATTTAAGGGCCTGTCTACTGTGTTCTTGTTCTAAATCAGGGACAGCTATTTCGAAATACTGTCAAAAAGAAAAGTAGTGAACAATTTGCATATAAACCACTATGTAAACCAACCAAAAAATCAGGTCGACCAGTGACCCTAAGCATTTGATCGGGGTTAAGTGGAGCAAAGGACACTTTTCACAATGCCACTGTCCTCGCTAAAGGAATCGTGATAGGATTGGGTCAAGTTACCAATGGTGTCAAATATTGTTAAGAAAATATAAATTTACTCGAACTATTCATTAGCTGAGATTATTTGTCAGCTATGATCTTGAAGAGTTATCAGGTTTCATTTTGGTATAGAATTTGCTGTGTTATATATAGAATATTATGAAAAGAATTTTAAATACAACCCGAATCCTTTCTAAAGATTGTACTGAATTGTTCCGATTGCAAACAACTTGGACAAAACATTTTTGAGAAATCCACTGAATGTAGATTCTTTCTGATTATAATAACACAGGCCTTAGCTTTGCATCGTTATGATTGAGATTTTTTACAATACACTTTCTCTTTAAATTTCCATTGTAATAGATAGAATGCTACGTTTTTCCCATCAGAACATTTCTTTATCATTTTGATTCTGTAGAAATGTCCAGCTTTGTAGAATTTTTAGAGGTGCGAAAGAAAAAAGTACGATTTTTTTCCCATTTTATTTCTTGGTGAATCAAACATTGAAATAATAAGACAGATATGAATATTCTACATCGTTAAAAATTCAAGATAGTAATTTTGCAATTTTAGTAAACGATTTTTTTGTATATCTTTCAGTCCCTCAGTAAAGTGCGTATATCTACAGTACAAATATACGAAGCATTATATAAATAATTTGGCCGCCAAAAAAACCCAGAAAACAATATCTTCTAAACCAACACATACAAATATTGGTATACAAATATTGGTATACATTGTACAATCTATTTTATTTCGCCTCTTCCCTCCCACGCCTCCTAGCTCTATGACACTACCCTAATATCACCAACACCCCTCCCGTTCTCTCATCTCTTTCTCTCTCTAAGTATTTTTTATTATGCAGAAATCTCTCTGAAAATCAAGTTA